AATGTTCCAAGATTGTTTAAAATATTTCGTAGCGTTATGACTGAATCATGCTTATTGCGTCAATATGATAAAAAATATTTCATCCGAAGTATTGCCCATTGGTGTCTAAATATTTAATGTCGCAGTTTCGTATGAATGAAAGCATTGCTTAACATGTGTGCGACTCTTCGATAAAAACAAGCGGTAAATGGAAGGACTTGAACTTAGCGTGGAGAGTAAGCTACATTGTCTAGCACTTCCCAGTTGAGTGCTTTCAACGCGTCGTGAACCGGTTTGGCGATACGGATGGATAGACAGATGGCGTATAATTGGTTACCTTTGCGTTTTTTCTTTTTTGACAATTGGGGTTATGTTAAACGGTGAGTCACCTTTCCATCCCGAGTAATGGTATCATAAAATAAACAGTTTTATTTTAAACAGTTCGAAGAACAATATTGTGGTCGCCAATTGGTTTTGTTTTAGCGCGAATCTCTATGCAAGTAACATTGTTGCGAGTTGCAATACTTTTATCAGATGTTAACAAGCATCGCCGTCAAGGCCTCGGTTTGACAGTAGCTACATTGGCAACTAGGGTCAAACCTGGGAAAATTCCGATTTTATGTTTACAAATCTAGAAGAAGAAGAAGAAGGTTTTCATTGTTGCATGATTTGGACGAGTTCTTAGATGACGATAGTAGTAGTTTCCTTGACACGCAGCTATGGCCGAAAGCAACGATACCATCTATTGTCGGCATGCGAAAGCAAGAAGCCATACAATCAAGCTACACCGTAGACATATATTGAACTGCCCTTTGCAGAACTTTTAAATTTCAAATTTCAAAAGTGAAAAAAATGAAGGTAATTTTTTCTTCCTTTTTGTTTCAGAATAATTAAGCTACATATGTAAGTGGATGTAAACGTAAGTTCATTATTACAAAAGAGCACATTTTTCCAATTGTTGCATAAAAGAAATCAAACTTGTACTGTTGTTAACTGGCACCGATACGGAAAATTGACTCTTAATAGATTTAAAAGTGTAATTACTGCTATAGCCCACTTAAGGATGCATTAAAAACTTAAATACGTATATTTGCATTACATCAAATAGAAAAGCGAAGCAAACAAATAACTGATAAGTATGTAATTAAAACTGCATTTAAAAAAAATAAACGCAAAACTAAATAATAAAAAAAAAAAAAGAAAAAACTGAAACTAATACTGCCGTCTATAGGAAACTATTTACACGACATGGATAGACATGCCCGTGTTTGTGTACACGCCTTTATGTATACTTCCGTGTGTGTGTGTGTGTGTGTGTGTGTGTGTGTGTGTGTGTGTGTGTGTGTGTGTGTGTGTGTGTTTGTGTGTGTGTGTGTGTGTGTGTGTGTGTGTGTGTGTGTGTGTGTGTGTGTGTGTGTGTGTGTGTGTGTGTGTGTGTGTGTGTGTGTGTGTGTGTGTGTGTGTGTGTGTGTGTGTGTGTGTGTGTGTGTGTGTGTGTGTGTGC